ACCGTGAAATATAGACGATTATGTGGGCTGAAAATTCACTCGAATGCTGGCTGAGCTTTCTTCATGACTTCGTCCTTTTAATATTATCACATCTGCTTGGTCAGACATTGCTGACGCATTTGATTGCAGAAACTCTTAATAATGGTGGTTTCAAGGCTCGAACGGTGTCTGGCATGAAGTGGAAAGTGATATGGACAGAAAGTCGACTTCGGCCCCTCCCTGCTTGTAATTGGCAATATCGCTGAGTTGGTCACGCAGTTGTTCGTCGATCAACTGGTAAACGGCTGCAATGAACGTTGCAATAACATGGTAGCGAGCGTAGCGTTCATCGGGGATTAATTTTGTATCTTGACGTCGAGTAAGCATTAAAATGACACCACGACTAGAATAGCGTACTGGTATTCGAGGTTGCAAGTTTGTCTACACACTGGTTGAGCTGTAGTTGCGGCTAATTGTTTCAGAGATCCAAACTTGTGAATACTATTCGCTGTCCAAAGGAAGCCTATATAACAAAGGGTTCGTCAACCAAATTTTGGACCCGCAGCCGCGCTGAATCTGACCTATTCCGCAAACGGTTTGTCTTTTTAAAGTGCAAGGATTCGGTTCCGGATTCAACGGTTGTCGCGTACTTCATAAATCTTTACTATGCTGGCTAAACGGTAAACGGAAAATATTTCATTTGAATCAAGGTTATAATTTTTAATTCAAAGTCAGTGTCTCAGTCCCCTGACAACTTCCTCTGGAAGACGTATCTGTTTGTGCTAAGAACGTTACAGTTAGTTATAAAATATAAATATGAGGATTTACGCAGAATTTTACGTATCTGTGATTAAACATCATAAGGCGGTGGTAACCTTTGAACTTCTTGTTTTATTACATTCGCTACATAATCGTGGTTTTGACGGAGGGTTGACAGTAGTAGCTAACTTGTTAATAGAATCATATCTGTAACGACGGTAGTTCCAATGTTTAGAAATGATTCTTATTATGCGTTCAGTTATAGTCTAGTGAGAGCCACAGAGAATGTGGCAATTACACAAGAAGCTGGGACACTTATACAGGGACATTCAAAATCTAGGCAATCAGATGTCAAATTCTTATCATAAGCTACTCTCCGTTTCCGGCAGAAATTTTTGGCAAATATTCTTGTTTCTTTTCCGCACAGATGATTAAAGGAAAGTTTGTAACCGTCGGTCTTCCTGGCACTTTCATGAGAGAGCTGTTTCTGATGCCTGTCTTTTTGTTAAGCTAATATTGGGACGCTGATCTCCATTTTTATAATCATTAGGCAGGATAGCCTTACTTTTAAAGACAGTGTCTGCAGCAGCTATATTACAAGCATAGTGTGTAGTCTCCTGTTTTCTTCTCACAGAATGCTACTTACCTATCAATTTCGAAAAAAAGTGTCTGTCCGCGCTCGAATCATGGACCTCTGTCCTGACTCCAACCCTCTACCAACTAAACAACCCCGGTCTGAATCAACCTGTCGTAAATCGTTGATCAAGAAAATTCGTAGTTACGACTAAGATTGTCCTCCCCCGGAATCGAACCCGACATCTCTGGAGTTAAAAGCTGATCTTTTGGGCACTCTGCCACCACGTCACAAGCGATGAGTTCGTAAGTTCGTAGCATCTAAAAACGACGCGCCAAAACGCTGAGGTTTCTGTAACTTCCGTCCACACAAGTTCGTTTTTCACGTGGCTGCACCACTACACTTTCAGGGTACTACATGGACAGCATTGCCGGAAGTCTTCTTACTAGTCGACTACCTATTGAGGTTATTCATTCAAAAGGCATTACTACTGGCAAAAGAATTTTTTTTGAGAATTTTGAAGTTCGCTTATTCTGTTCAACGCTAGAGTGATTTAGCTAGTGTGCGGTTATATCGGTTATGAATTGACCTGAAATCCTGCAGAGTCGCTGTAGCCTTTAGTGATGTATTTCAGTGTCTGTCCGACTTCTGACTAGCGTATGCACTGTTGACGAAAACAGTTAATAAGCTGAGAAATCTGTTGGCTGAGAAGCATCACCACCACTATGTCTAAATGAAGATGATGGAACTTCAGTAATTCATCCTAGAGTATGGTAGGATTAATGGACTGATGGGAATTAATGCCGTCTGTGCAACTTGTTTCTTCGAAATACTTAAAAGTGATCTAGCTAGTAGTAGTTCATGTACTGTAGTAAAGTGAAATTTTCCTATTTTTATACGTTACATTTTTAGATGCCTCGCGCGGACTTTTAGACAAAGAAGGGGTGCTCAATCTAGAAACGACGTCCACATCAGAAAACCAGGATACAGAAGTGCTTGACTTAAGCTTAAAAAAGGCACGAATATGTTTTAGCAGTAATTCTGCACCATCTTCATGTGCAAACATGACTGAACAGACTGAGCAACAGGATTCCGGTCGAGATGGCAAAAATGAGCGTCTCACTCCTTTGCATGGTGATCTGTGTTATCCCTATTGCGGAGCGGCACCCGTTTTCCCACCGTGGTCTCAGGCAGACTCGTCACCTGTCGCACCGCACTGCATTCCTCCCTCCTCCAGCACATCCGGCCCGTCCAGCTCGTCCGGTTCTTCCAGCACTCCTCAGACGTCTTTATCATCCGACAACAACCCGAAAGCAATGGCCAGCAATTCGTTGGAGAAATTGTCTAGTCTCGTGCACAAAGTCGGTAAGGTGTCGTCGGTGGAAGAGGTGCGAAGCAAGATAGGTTCGCAGAACTGTGTAAACTTTCATGAACTCTGGTGGCGTTGTATGAAAAAGGAAGAGAACAACGAGTTGAAGAGAATTCACGAGGCGAAACAGATATTCACGTGTCTTCAGTGTCACTATTCTTTCCAAACTATGGACCAGTTGGTGAAGCACATGGAGTCCACTTTGCATTATAACAACATTCCGAAGTATTACAGGTAAAACTTTGTGTGCTTTGATATTACGGTTGATCGC